TGAAAAACCAAAAGTGGCCACCATTCATTTATGCATACATTCATTTAATCAAAGTTTGTTTAGTGCCAACAACGCTAGACCAACCAGGCATGGAGTCAGGGGCTGGGACTGAGGTTGGGGAACCATCACACCACGAAACCACAGCTACGGTGGCAGCTGCTACAGACCTCAAGGAGGCTGCCGGCGGCCTGTGCTGACCTCCAAAAGGAAGAGTAAAAGAACCCTGGGCAAAGCGACTTGCAGGTGAAGCAACCTGGAGAAGCCTGATGTGGGAGGCTGGGCAAGTGGCCAGGGAGCCACCGGAGAGAGCAAGGGGTGGCAAGACCAAGGCTGCAGGAAAGCAGGCTCTGAAGGGCTCTGGGCCTGGGCCGTGTCAGCTAAGGAAGCCTCTGGAGATGTGTCAGTGCCCAGGAAACAGCACCCTCCTCCCTGCCCAGATCTGAACTGGTCAAAGAGTAGAATAAAATCCAGAGACCTTGTGGAGACCTTGTAACCATTGACGGAGGCCTGGCCCTGAGGCCTCTCCCATTGTGCAAGGGCTTTAAGCAGATTTGCATTTGCAAAGATCCAGATCCCTCTGGCTGCAGTGAAGGGAACAGAACAGGGCAGACTGGGTTGTGTCTGGAAGAAGTTTAGGGGTCAGTAGGGCCTACTTCTCCTGTGGGTTCGAGAGGAGGCATTCGGGGTGGCGGCCTGCCGGGAGCCTGGCAGCCAGCTGAGCAGGGAACCAGCCTTCTTCCCTGTGCCTCTCCTCTTCTCCTTTCCATGCTGCACTTGCACTTCTCCTGGGCCTTCCCCTGTCTCTCTGTCTCCCCACAACCCCTCTCTCTCTTCTTTACCTGAATGTTCAAAAATATGTTCACTGTGATATAAAGAGAATGCAGAATTACATGTAAAAGCATGTGCTCCACATAGAGGTGTGCAGTGACCCACGTGCAGTCACCTTGAGAGAGCCCCCCCGTGTGTGTGCCCTGAGCAGGGCAGAGCCAGGCCTTGCCTTCCCGCAAAGGGAGGTGGCGGGTGGAAGGTGCAGGGGTCGTGGGCAGCATCTTACACACAAATGGCAATCAGCTTAAAGGTTCAACTGCACATCCAAAACATCTTTTATTTTTTTAAGGATGGGGGAATGGAAAGAAGAGAAGAGAGATGACAAATAAAAATGTTTAAGAAAGGGAGTGTTCTAAAAAAAAATAAGTACCTCCCGGCCAATGAGCACATTGTACTTCAGTGCTATGACCCTTCTTTTAAAGGCTAGTACTTACTTTTAATTTTGATTTTTAAAACATAAAATATTTCACACAACGGAAAAGGACACATTAATACAGTCCCATGTAACCATCATTCCAAGTTAATAACCATTCACATTTTATAACATTTGCTTCAGATGTATTTCCAGAAATAAAATATAGAGCCACAGTCCCCCATTCCTATTCCCCCTCTTCCAGGGTATTTGGAGGCTGAAATGGAGACTTCCCTTCCTACGTTGTGGTTGAAGCCCCTCCCCTGCCCTGTGCCATAAAATCTGGGTTTTTTAATTCCGCCATCAGCACCCACTTTGCACACCCACCTGCACCCCAACTTTACACCACCAGCACTTATGCAGTTGCTACAGGTGGATGACCTCACTCACTCGCACCCCGGGAGCATCCCGCTCCATGAAGGCGCCACTAGTCCTTTACCCAGGCAGGCCTTGGTGCTCACGCTTTAGGAGGTCTCCAGTCTTGCTGTGCTGCAAACACCGTCCCCAGGGCGGCCTGGCCCTCCCGTCCTGAGCACCTACGTGGTGTTTTCTCTGCAGTGGTCAGTGAGGCAAAGGATCGCTGGGTGAGCAGGAGCCTGAACCTCCTCCTCTCTCACATGTTGCCAAATGTCTCCCTCACGTACCTGTGGCAATTTACACTGGCACAGCAGTGAGGGCTCCTGCCTGCACAGCCTCGGCCTTGCTGGGCGCCATCCGGTGGGTGTGAAGTGGCATCTGTGTGTGGGATCTTCCCCTCGCTCGTGACCCGGGGCATCTTTGGTTTGTCCTCTGTGGGGAGGGTCTGTTCATAGCCCTGACCTATTTTCCACCGGGTGCCTCCTCTTCACCTACCGACAGAATTCTTCCTGATTCTGTACAGCAGTCCTTGTCATTTATACGCGCTGCTAACATCTTCTCCTCGGTCCCTGTCAGTGGTTTATGTTCTGTCCAACTGAACACACATTTCGTTACTTTTCACGCAATCAAGGTCATCCACGTTTTATTTCTGCATTCCCTGTTAAGTTTAAAAAGAAAGAAAAAAAAATCCCCCCCTTCCCCTGCCTGTGCCATTCCGGGTGTGTGAGAGTGTGCGGGAGAGTTAGGGAGGAGAGGGGTAGTGTGTGCCACCACGTGCCACCAAGCCAATGCTGGGTGCGGCGGGCGAGCCGTTTGGGGGTCCACGAACCGAACGGAGAGCTGGCGAAAGGACATTAAATATGACCCGAGACAAACGCTCTTCAGGGCCTCGCTTGTATGATGAAGTCACTGTAAAAGAAGCCGAGGAAAGCTTCCCTCTCCTCCAGCGTCTTCTTGCCAGCCCGGAGTCCCGCCTGCTCGCACCGGGACGCAGTGGACCCAGCGGTGCCCGCAGGCTCCTGGGCGCGCGCCCAGCCCTGCCCGCCGCGGCAGCACTCGGAGTGTCTGGTGGGTAAACGGAGGCACGCAGAGGCCCGAGCCCCTGCCGGACGGGCCGAAGTCCTTCTAAAGACTGTCTTCCAGGGACACTTGAAAGCCTAACAAACCCTGCGTGTGAAGGGGACGGCCGAGGAGAGTCACACGTGTCATCTTCACACAGTCGCCTGAGGAGGAACTAAGGCGGTCACGTCTTCGCTGAGCCAGAAACCGGTCTCCGATCCCTCAAAGGAGCTCAGGCCTGTCCACTTCCGAGGGCTGTCCCCTGTCCTCCCTCTCGCGGCTGTCCCCGGCTCCCCTCGCCCCGCCGGTGGGACGCGCGGACGCCTGGCCGCGGGGCCCGCGGACCTGGGCCAGGAGAGGGGCGAGCTGGCGGGGGTGCGGGGCGAAGGCAGAGGAGGGAACGAGCAAGAGGCCGAAGGAGGAGGCGCCGGGGCAGGGAGGCTGCGGGATGCGCGGGAGAGAAAGTTCGGGAAGCACGTCGGGGGCTGGCACCTGTGTTAGCAACCAGGAGAATGCGCGGTCATTTGGACGTACACAGAAGACAGCTAAGTGAAGACACCTGGTTAATCTAATACGCGGTACTTGGAATGTTTTTTTAAAAAGAAAAACGAAACAAAGAAAATAAAAGTGCGCATTCGGCCCTGGAACCCAGGCGCCCAGAGCACCCCCGCCTCCAGTGGCAGCCACTTCGGGTCCCCTTCGGTGCGGGATCGCGCAGGCCTCGCCCCGGAGCTGGGCCCCGCTCACTGCTTTGCGGGGAGCCGGCTGGCACCCGAGGCGCGTTGCAGAGCCGGAACCACGGGGGCCTCCCCAAATCGGTCAGACGTATTCGTGGCGTGCTTAGTGGTGTAAACGAAGTTTGGCAGGTACCCAATTTGACTTCAATTGTGTACAATTTATAAATATGTATTTGTCTAAAAAATAATACAAAGAAAGGAAACTAACTGCCAAGCCCCCCACCCCCCCTTTTCTCTTTCCCTCTGTCCCTCCAGAAACAAGCCAGGAGGCCCCGGAGCTGGAAGCGGGCCTTCACTGTGATCCACCAGAAACGTGACTTCTTACATCGAAACTGCTTACATTTCAAATACTCCACTAAAGGGAAACCATGTAAACTGTGTACGTTTAATCTTAATCGACCCCCCAAATTACACACCCCAAATGGTAGCGATTTTTTCACCAAACTCCTAAAAACTCCACTGAAAGCCAGAGTCATAAAACGGAATAAGAGGTAGTCAGGAGGGGCTCGGGTCTTACTGAAATGACCTGATACTGTTTTCCCTCCTCCCAAATTAAGCCGACATGGAGAGGCAGGTCGCGCCAGGAGCAGGGGCGTCCGCCGCCCGTCGGTGGCGCCGGGACAGCGCCAGAGCCACCGCCGCCAGAGCCGACGCTGGCAGGCGCGGGCCATAGCGCCCCCTCGCCGCTCGCCCGCACGACTTCGGGTCCGTGTCGCCTCCTGCGCCTCCTCCGCGGCCCGGAGAGCCCCAGGACGCGACCGTGTCTGCCTCGCGCCCGGGCCTGCCCAGCCAGACGCCTTCCCGAAGACCCCGGAGCCCAAGCCTGAGTGTCCGGCACCGCTCCGCGCAGGAAAGCCCGCTCGCTGACACGTGCACTGCCACTCCGACTTCTAAATGCTGCTGCCACTGCAAGGACAAGAAACCAAAATACGCGTCCACTTTTTTTGTTTTTTAGTGCACACAGGAGGAGCGGGAGGAGGACCCCTTCCACTGAAACTGCTCATTGCCGGGGGACTGTTACAAGCGATCGCGCTCCCCAGGCTCTTCTGTGGGCTTCCCCGCGTGGCTGCACGAGCTGCATCTTTCCAGCTAGGGTGGCAGCTGGACAGCCACAGAAGCAAGTGCCCGGGCACAGCCGGGCGCCTCCACGAGCCCAACACCCCTCCTCGTCCTTGAGCAATACTCCCAAGGCCCTACTCTCCAGGAGGGGCAGCTGCGAGGCCCGGACGCGACCCTCGGCTCCCTCCCGGCCCCCGCTCGCCGCTGGGACCGGCGACGGACTTCAGCCGCATCCCAGCCACCCTCGGAGCAGCCTAGCAGAGACACCGCGCCGAGCCTTGACACTTGCAGCGTGGTTTTTATTGATTTTTTAAAATTTTATTTAGACAAAGCCAACTTTAACCTAAGAAAAAAGAAAAGTGATTCTTTAAAAATCAGGGAGCTTTAAAGCGCAACGGAGCTTATATATTCCAATCACAATGAAGAGCGTAAGTTTTAATGTCCCTGCCTAGGCATTTTAATTTGCTACAGTCACTACCAATAAAAACGGCATGTAGTACAATTCGACTGTTTAATAGTGCAAGGTAGACGGTTTTTATTAGTAACAGGCAGCAGGATGGAAAATTTAGATTTCAGTGCAGGAGTGTAATTGCTTGGGGGGAAATACACACAGGAAGGGAAGAGGCCGTCTTCGAAGTGAGCAGCCCTGAGCTGGAGAGGGGAAGGGCAGGCGGCGGTCCGGAGGGGACCCTGGGCGAGGGACACCTCCACAGCCACGTGCCTTTGTCTGGTTATCTGTTTAACGGATGTCAACGTCGCCTGCAGGCACAGCATACGCGCCTGCTGCAAACTGGGGACGTTTCCGTCATAAGCCACTGTTTTCTCTTCTGCCCCTGGCAGAGGTCAGGTGGGGGGTGTGGAGGGGTGCGGGGGTTCAAGAGAGGAGGAGGGTGGACGAGCCCCAAATGCTCCTGAAACCGCAGCAGGAAGAGGTCCTCAGAAATGGAAATCCTGGAGGTCAGCCATCTCTGGTGATAAAAATGAGACCCGATTTTTTCACTTCAGCTGATCTGATTGGAAGCGAACCCGAAAGGCCGCCATCTGATCTGCCGCTGTGCGTGTGTCATCCGGCGTGTGCGCATCTCATCCGCGGCCTCTTCCTGCAGGATTCCCTCCCGCGAACACCAGAAATGTCACCGGTCCTGGCAAATGGCACGCTGTCTCTGCTCTCTCTTCACTTCTTTCACTTCTCTCTCTTTCAACTCCATAATCATTGATTTAAAATATTTGCCCTGCGCTGAATTAGTATGTCCCACCTGTGGTCGCAGCGTTGTTGAAACCCCCTTGCTGGGTCCTCGCATAGCCCTGAGTGTGGGAAGGGGTGTGTGCGTGCGGAGGGGACAGGCGGTTGTGGCGGGGGTGTGTGTTGAGGTGACAGGTAGGGGATGTGTGGGTGTGGTCTGCAGGACGAGTTGGAGCGAGCAGTGTGGGCGAAGGGGTGGTGCTCTGCTGCGGGGTGAGCGGCTCGGGAGCTGGTGGGGGAGGGGTAGTGTGTCCTGACCGCACCTACCGAGAGTGACGGGCCTGCCCGCCCAGAAGGTGTCCTTGTCAGGCCTGACACTGCAGCACTGCAGTTTGCAGCCGGTTCCCTGGGACCTGGGGGAAGACAAACACAGCCTGACTGCCATGAACGTTCCTCCTGCGCCTAGGCAGACTGGCAGCCGGAGCCCGGCGCTCTTGGCGCCGCAGCCGCGCCGGAACGAGAGGCCGCGGAGGCGCGCAGCGTCCTGACATGACCGAGGCCACACCGCGAGGGAGCTGCGGGCCTGAGCTCAGCCCTCCGCCCGAGCCCACAGCGCTCTACGCCTGCATCGCAGCCACCCGAGACGGCTCCGAGCAAGGAAGAGGCACCTGTTGGGCGGGCGCCCCCACCCGGGCCAGCACACGCCTCGCCCTCTTCGAGCCCCCTGAGCGCCACCCATTGGTGACCCTTCGGCCTGGTCACCAGACGCCCTCTCCCGCCGGCCCCAGGAGGCGGAGGGGTGGAGGAGTGTGCAAGTGGGAAGGGGAGGACTGTCCCGAGAGGCACCTCCCGAGCCGCACGTTACCTGAGCTGCCTGTCACGCAGACTGCGCCCGCGCCACCAGCCTGCTGCCCTCGTGTCCCTTCCCGAGGTGGCAGCGAGGCTTCATGTCGTGCCAGAGGCGGTTTGTGCGGTGACAGTCATCCTCCCGAGTGTTTTGTCAACATAAATCCAAAACAGTCAACTTATTGAGATAAAAATAAAACTCTTTTGGGGGGTGGCACCTTCCCAGGCGAAGCGCTGGCGGCATGTACTAACACGCCGAGGCGTCCCCAACAGTGAGAAGTCCTGACACCCAGAAGCTCGGGGTCTCCACAGGTTCAGGTGCAGAAAGCTCACCTCAGGTCGCTCCTGGCGGTTCGCAGCCGAGGCGCCCCCGATCCGTTCCATGCTCGGCGGCGTGGGCAGCGAGGGGCAGGCGACCAGACGCGATGCCACGCGGGGAGCCTCAGGCCGCGAGGCAGAGCAGATGGAGGAAGGTGGAAGTGAGACCGCGCACGCCACCCCAGGGAGGACCCAGGTTGCGAGTGCCACCCCCCCCCCATCTACCCGCGACTCCCGGCCTGGACACTGGGGTCTGGCGTGTGGCCACCTAGACTGGACGCTTCGGGTTGGAAAGGAGCGGCCCTGGCCGTGCGTCCGAGTGGACCTGGCCTGGCCCGACTGCGGGCGGCCACTGCCCAGTCCGTGCGGGCCGAG